CACCAAGGGATATCTTCTGTGCACTCTTTGAAAGGTAGAGAATGTAAACTATTTCTTAGCTTCCTTCCAAACACCAGGCTTGTAACAAGACCACCTGGTAGTTTATGGAAGACCCTGAGAATTAACATTTCAGTATATTGTACCACTTATTATAAATGGGCCAAGAAATTTTGATTCCCAAAACATGCTGAAAGCTAATCCTTGGTTCTGACTGGCACTTTTAGGATTGTAATTCACTATTCACATAGGATGGTGATTTGTGGTCACTGCCAGTGGTGGCCGCTCCTCCTTTCACACAGGTGCCGCTCCTTCATTCTCGTGGGTGTCAAGGCTGCTCCTCCCACTCGCCCTGCACTGAGGCCGCTCTTCTCCTTGCCCTGTGCTCTCTCCTGTCGTCACTGCTTCTGCCCAGTCCCGGACCCCAGGGCTGGTGAGGAGACTGTGTCAGCGAAGCCACATTCAGACACAGGAGACCAGGTTCAGTGACACAGGTCTGGTTTATTGCAGGAAGGCACAAGCTTATATAGGGATAGTGGTCCAATCACAGCACAGCAAGTAGGATGTCTTATTAGCATAACAGGTTTAGTGTCCTATCACAGTACAGCAAGTAGGATACCTTATTAGCATAACAGACTTAACATCCTATCACAGAATAGAGGGTAGGATGCCGCATTAGCATACTGGGTTTCAGATTACAGAGCCTGGATTCCTGGAAACCATGTGACCCTGACAGTTGCAATATCACCCTAGGCTCAAGCCTGTCTCCCACAGTGATTATTCACTGAAGTCAGTCAGTGACACATTTGCTCTGTGTTTGTCCCTTTTGCCTTGGTGCTTTACTGGGGAATGGCCACTGTTCATGGCAGAGGACTCAAGCAGCAAGGCATTTGAGTTACAGAGCCTGGATTCCTGGAAACCATGTGACCCTGACAGTTGCAATATCACCCTAGGCTCAAGCCTGTCTCCCACAGTGATTATTCACTGAAGTCAGTCAGTGACACATTTGCTCTGTGTTTGTCCCTTTTGCCTTGGTGCTTTACTGGGGAATGGCCACTGTTCATGGCAGAGGACTCAAGCAGCAAGGCATTTGAGAACTGCCTGAGGACCTCTGCTGTGGGCTCCATCAAACTAACTCTAGACCTCTCTCCTACAGAATGCCTCATATTCTTCATTTTAATCACTTCAAAATCTCCTTCATCCCATTGTTTTTCATCTTCCCATTCATTACCTTCCTCATTTAGCTCAGAACCAGAAAACAAAGCTTTCTGATCCTTGCTTCCTCCATTTCATTCCATTTTCTCACCCTCCCCTTTCATTTTCTCCCTTTGTAGTTCAGAACTAGAGGGTAAAATTTTCTGGCCCTCCCTTTTGATGTTTTTTTTTCTGCTTACGATCCAGAGGCAAGGTGGCTAATTTATACATCACAGGAAATAAAACAGCAGTGAATACTGTGGACCCCAAACAGGTGTACAGAACTACGGGCAAATTTGGATATTGTCCTTGAAGAATTCCAGCTAGTGCAGGAGTAGCCATTAGTCCCAAGGCTGCACCAATTAGAATAAATGCTGCAGATTTCCCACTTATGCTGGTGTACCGCTCAATCCAAGAAATCCCACTGGGAAATGTGGTTGCCATCGAGGCTCCATACACGGAAGTTGCGATCCAGAGGCAAAGTTTGTTCTTGTCAAAAAGCACCAGAAATAAAGATGAGACCAGGCTGCCAACGTTGCTCAACACAATCATGGTTCCAGGCTGTAGACACGCTGCAAAGAAGATGGCCAGGCCCCTGCAGCCTGCAAAGGTCCCCCAGAAGATGGAGTTCAACCCGGCTGCTTCACTTTCCTCCATGCCAACATGGGTGGTTGCAAATGAGAATATGTAAGAGCCATATGTCACCTCAGCGCCAACGTAGAAAAAGAAGAACAGGAAGAGGAGGCAGAGCAGGGCCTTGTGGTATTTAGCTCTTTGAGATCGCTGGGCTGATGCTGTGGATTTTTTATGTTTTGAGCGTTTTTTAAAAAATGGAGCCAAGAGAAGGACAGAAACTACTGAAGCATAAGTGCCGATGGAAGCATAAGCCCACAGCAAATTCATGTCATCAGGCACTGCAAACAGAGGGTCTGAGGTGGCTTCGGAGGATCCGTTCAGCATTAGAGGATGAAAGTCAGGCTCCGTGTGGTTCGCAGCAGAGGCTGCTGTGCCCCATGCCAGTTTAGCCAGCAGGGGAGCCAGAAAGGCACCCAAGGCGAAACTGAAGTGCAAGGCCTGCATATGGGGGGCTCCTTTGTCCCCCCAAAGATCCAAAATGAGGACATTGCCACCTAACAATGAAAGATATGGGAACTCATTTAGGTTAAATGCAAAGTCACATAGTTAAGAAAAAAAGGAAAAACAAAAATAAAACAACTACAACAACAAAGACCCACAAAGAAGTCTGTGTTACGTGGCATGAACATGATAAATGTTCTAAATTACAAAAGGCCTCACCTGATTCAACTCTGTGATGAAAGAACTCTAACTCACCACCATAAAAAATTATAACTTAGGGGGCTGGAGAGATGGCTCAGAGAAGAGCACTGACTGCTTCAGAGGACCCAGGTTTGGTTCCCAGCACCCACATGGTGACTAACAACCATCTGACTCCAGTTCCAGGGACTCTAACACCCTCTTCTGACCTCCATGGGCATTGAATGACATGGGTACACTTCCATATATGCAGGTAATATACTCATACACAAAAACAAAAATAATAAAATATTTTAAAATAAATTATACATTATATCATCTCATACTCATGGGTGGAATTGGACGATTGAATCAACTACCACTTCTGAGAGCCAGGTACATCAACCTTGAACTCACAGAGATCCTCCTGCCTCTGCCTCCCAAGTGCTGGGACTAAAGGCGTGTACTACCACACCCAGCAGCAAAAGTTTTTTATAAACCAGTGCTAACACTTCACTAGGGAGTCTTATTTGATACAGCTGTTTACTTATATGCATTACATAAAATGCCTATGCATCTATACATACATATACTTGGCAAAAATGTTATTAGACAAAAAGGCCAGATTCTCAAACATTTTGTACTTGCAAGAGTAGAAATGCTATTTACTTATGCATAAAAGAGATGTAAAACATCCACCTAAGAACCTGAATACTCCAAGATCCTAGTGTACCCATTAGATGGAACAATGCACATTTTAGAACCTGCACTTAATATTATCAGAGGACCTACAAGATGAAAAAGCCCAAAGCTTCAAGTCTACGGCTATCTCTTTTTTTTTTATTGAATGTTTTCAGATAAGCATTTAATTCTACCCTGAATTTACCAACCAAACAAAACCTCAAGTACAATTTGTTTCCATATCTATAAAATAGCATTAGAGTAGGGAAGAGAGGGATGGAAAGTTGGAATTTTTAGTAAACACATATCACACATGTTATTGAATAGATTTTCATGGGTGTGTATGTATGTGCATGTTTGTGTGTGATTTGTATATTATGCATGATGTATATGGTATATGTGTGTATGGTGCATGCATGTGAGTGTGTGGGTACACATGTCCATGTAGAGGTCAGAGGAGGATGTCAAGTATCTTCCTCTATTGTCTCCTTATTATTTTGAGATAAAGTCTCTCCCTGAACAAGAAACTGGCTGGCCAGTGAATTCTTGAATCTGTCCCTAAATGCTTAGGTTTATAGGCATGCACAGTCAGGCTTTTAATATTGGTGCTAGGGATTCACACCTAGGTCCTCATGCTTACAGAGCAAACACTCTCTGAGTCACCTCCTCATCCCCTAGTAGGTTTTCAAAGACATGATGACAGTTGGAGAAGATTTACTGTAGAAGGATCTCTCATAGGATGAAATTTCTAAGATTACAGTCAGATATTTAGAAAATTGGTGTCCTAATTTACAGGAAGAGTGACTGACAGCACGATGGTCTGAGTAGGTGACCCTGTGACCAGCTCAGTAGTCTCTGTCATTTCAAGGAACAATTTAGCAGCGATGTCCCAGTTATGACTCTAAGGGCTCACTAACCTGTGTCCAGAATGCCAAATGAAACGCCAATGACAGATGTCATGATGATCAATAGGACTGCTGTCTTGCAAACAGGAGTTAGATAAAGACCAACTGAGCTCATCAGGTTTGACATCCCTGAGAAGAAAAGTTTGAAAGTCAGCTATTAATGAAAGTATTCATGTGGTCATAAGCCAACACCATAACAACTTCCAAAACTCCACACTGTGATCAAATTAAAAGTATGTAATCTCATGATGGGCATGATGGCACTGCCTTTAATCCCAGCACTCCGGAGGCAGAGGCAGGGGGATTTCTGTGAGTTCAAGGCCAGCCTGGTCTACATAGTGAGTTCCAGGCCAGCTGGGGCTACAGGGAGACCCTATCTCATAAAGACCAAAAAAAAAAAAAAAAGCATTTAATCTTATGGGGTAAGACTTGTACCTTCCACAAGTAGTCATGTCCTTTAAATCTTATATAATCTTTATGGATTATAAAATATAAATTATTAAGTGAATATAATTATATCACTGCTAGAATCAAACTTTAAGTCATAATATCAAAGCAAATTTTTATAACAAAAAAGTCAAAAATTATTTTCTTAGTCTAGAATGGTGATGCACACCTTTAATCCCAGCAATCAGGTGGCAGAGCAGGCATAGCTCTATGAGATGGAGGCCTTGTCTACATAGAGCGTTCCAGGCCAGCTGTGGCTACAAGGAGTCCCTGTTTCAATATTATGTATATAGTTTACTTAAATGCTTCACATTTTAAAACCAAAAGGGGACTGATGAGACGGCTCAGTGGGTAAAACCACTTGCTGAAAAGTCTGATGACCTGAGTTAGATCCCAGGGACCCACATGGTGGAAGGAGAGAACCAACTCCTGAAAGCTGTTCTCTGGCCTCCACAGGTGCACTCTGGCATGCACTAACTAACTAACTAACTAACTAACTAACTAACTAACTAAACTAACTAATAAATAAATGTAATTTTTAACTTTTAAAACAAATATTTTATTTATTGCCTGCATGTATAAGTGTACCTGTATCATGCAGTGCCTGCCAAGGTCAGAAGAGGGTATTGGACCCCTGGAACTGGAGTTACAGACTGTTGTTAGCTGTCATGTGGGTGCTGGGAACTGAACCCAGGAATCTGGAAGAGCAGCCAGTGCTCTTAACCACTGAGCCATCTCCCCAGCCCCATTTTTTTTAACTTTTAAAGAACCAAAAGGGGTTGGAGTAGTTGGAGAGATGGCTCCATGGATAAAGCCCTTGCATACTTGAGGACCAGAGTTCAGATCCCCATCACTTATATAAAAGTTGGATGGGTGTGGCAGCCATCTGTAATCCCAGAGCTCAGGAGGATCCCCAGGGTAAGATGGCCAGCTAAACTAACTAAATTGGTGAGCTCTGGGTTCTGCAGAGATCTTGCCTCAGTGAATAAACTGGGGTGATTAAGGAAGACACCTCTGGCCTCCACATCCATACACACATACCTGAACACATGAATCCACACATGTGTACATGAATCCACACACACATGCATGTATGCACCACACATGCAAAACCAAACCAAATAGCCAAAGGGGACTTTATTTTTAATTTTTTTATGGCTTTTTTTTTTTTTTTTTTTTTTTTGAATAAACTGGGGTGATTAAGGAAGACACCTCTGGCCTCCACATCCATACACACATACCTGAACACATGAATCCACACATGTGTACATGAATCCACACACACATGCATGTATGCACCACACATGCAAAACCAAACCAAATAGCCAAAGGGGACTTTATTTTTAATTTTTTTATGGCTTTTTTTTTTTTTTTTTTTTTTTGAGTCCCTATCTACACCTCCTCTTCCTGCCCCCCACCCAATTTGATGTACTCTATTATATAGATAATATGACCTCTAGAGTCTGATTTGTGTCCTCAGGTGTCCTGAAGGGGACTTTTAGATATGAAATAACAATAAAAGGGGGGGGGGGTGGCAATTAGTATAGTAGTTTAGAATAAAACTTTAAATGAATTAGTTTGGAGAATAGTGAAGAAAATACAAAGCATGTAGTTTTGGGCTGGGATTTAGATCAGTAGCAGAACACTTGTGTATAAGAACTTCGATTTAATCCTCTGCAAACAAAAATTTACTATATATAATTTATTATATATAGTCTTTCAACTATAAAAGGGATCATTAATTCATCAGGAATAATAGATTTTTCTTCTTGGATCCGAAGGAGTTATGTCATATTTTCTTTAAACATGTCAATGCTTTCAAAGCAGAGTGCTATAAAAGTTTTCCCATCTACTCCCAGGGTGTGGTAGAGCCGCCTGGGCTCAACACTAACATGGAGCAGCAGGGACAAAAACACAACCTACAGTGTTCGCCACCATCTCCTGCCTCTGCACGTTCAATCCAGGTTCTAGGTGCTCTAACTTCTGAATTCTACAGCCCTGGAAGCCCTGCTCTATCTTGGATAAGCACAACTTTTTTGATAACTAGTGAGTTGGAGTAGAGCTGGAGTTACAGTGAAGGTCAGCAAATCTTGGGATTTCTAACATGCATACCCAAGAGCTAGTCAAGGAAGCTTCCAGAAGGCTCAGTACAGAGTCTCTGTAACTGCTAAGGTGAAGTAGAATCTGAGGACACCCAGGTGTTGTGGGGCAGCAAAACACAACCTTTAGTTGTCAGTCAATCCAGGGGCCACTGCTTACCATGTGTAAACTGTAAACACTGATAGAAACAATGAAATGAAAATCAGTGTTAACTTACCCAAAAGTAAAAAATGATTCATACAGTCAAAAAGAACTCCACCAATCAGAGAGCCACTCAGGTATCCCAAAGCACGACCCACAAATATTTCAGAAAGACTGCTGATATTTCGATTCACATTTCTGGCCAGATCTTGAAATGTGGGTCCCAATATGGCAGCACTTATTCCCTGAAATTAAAAAGACAAAAGCTTTTATTTACAAGCAAAATGATATTTATCTAATTTATATCCACTATAAAAAAAAAGTGAGGAGTGGGTTTTAATGAAGATAATTACTTTAAGTCTTATAGTAAAGAAAAATACACAGGAGCTAGAGATTTGGCTCAGCAGTTAAGAGCACTGGTTGCTTTTGCAGAGGACCTGGGTTCAGTTCCCAGCACCCACATGGGACTGACAACCATCCATAACTCCAGTTCCAGGCTATCTGACACCCTCTTCTGACCTCTATGGGCATTGTATGACATGGGTACACTTACATAATACAGGTAATACACTAATACACATAAAATAAAAATAATAAATAAAATGTTAAAGCCAGGTATGGTGGTGCACGCCTTTAATCCCAGCACTTGGGAGGCAGAAGCAGGCAGATCTCTGTGAGTTGAAGGCCAGTCTGGTCTACATAGTGAGTTCCAGGACAGCTGGGGCTACAGGAAGACCCTGTCTCAAAAAGACACACACACACACAAAAAATTTAAAAGAAGAAAAATACACAATAATAATAAAATTACTAGAGCCATAGACTTCTGTTACTTTTCTTTGTTGCAAAGCTCACTTTTTGAAAAGTTATTTAAAAGCCAGTGTGGTAGTGCACAAACTTGCACCTTTGATTCCAGCACTTGGGAGGCAGGTGGATCTCTGTGAGATCCAGCCCAGTCTGGTCTTCTATAGTTCAACAATACTTTAAAAGACTATTCTAGCCACATGTGTTGGTCCACACCTTTAATCCCAGCACTTGGGAGGCAGAGGAAGGTGGACATCTGTGAGTTTGAGGCCAGCTGGGGCTACAGGGAGACCCTATCTCAAAAAGGCCAAAAAGTAGACCCTATTCTACTTTCAATTCTCATCAATGAAGCTCCCTTATGCAACAAAGGAAGAGGAACACAAAAGGCCACAGTAGGCAGAATATGGGTCCTTAGACAGTACTCCTATATTGAGGTCCACCCAACCAGGGCTCAGGGACCATTGCGGAAGAGGGGGAAGAAAGATTGTAAGAGCCAGGGAGAAGGTGCGTGACCATACAGAAATAGTCCTACAGGCACCTGGGACCTTTCTCATACAAACCTACAACAATGGTATCATCACACACAAGACCCATGCGAACGTAGGCAGACAAAAACCCAGCGCAGAACTGTAGAAATGAACAGCAAGCCCCAATCTCAGCCAAAGAATTACTGGCAGCTGATCACTGCTGGGTGAGGAAGAGCTGATCTTCTTGAAGAGAGAGACTATTCTAGCCACATGTGATGGCCCAACATGTGGCTAGTCTAAACCTAGAGGGCTGACTAACCTATTCATCAGTGCAAGTGGTAGATGAACTTGCACTGAAGGACATCTCGGGACACTAACTTTGCATAATAGGCTTTAATACAAATGACAGAATGTATGAACTGCAGTTGGGGGGGGGCTATGGGAGGGTACCTAAGAGGAAGGGGGGGCATAAAGGTGATTTCATGTATGAAATACACAAAAATTCAATAAAATTTTAAAAAGAGACTATTTTATAATAAAAGTTAATAAGGAACTGGGGGTATAACTCAGTGGTAGACTGCTTGACTAGCATACACACTTTTATGTCTAGCACTACAAAATAATAATGCCAGTATTTATTTATGTATTTTAGTGTGTGTTGGTTTAATTTTTAAAGGTACGTTTTTAGAACTTTCAGCATTAAATATGAGACAGATGAACAACTTTTCCTATGCAGATTTACTAGTAAAATAAACTTATGTTATCTATAGTGGAAAATTTGTCAGCAAGGATAACTGATGCACTCATCTTTATAAGTAATCAAGCATTATTGTTAAAAGTAAATTAAATAGATATGTCTCAGGAGCTGGAGACATGGCTCAGCGATTAAGAGTCCTTCCTGGTCTTCCAGAGGGCCCAAATTTGGTTCCCAGTACCCACATAAGGTAGTTTACAACCTCCTGTAACTCCAGCTCCAGAGAATTTGGTATCCCTTTTGGGCCTCTGCAGGCACATGCACAGGTTTGTAAACACAGACGTAATTTAAAATAAATCTTTTTTTCAAAATATACACCTCAAAATCCTCATGTAAAAGAATATTTTGCCATTTTTATTATCAAGAATTAAAAGTTGGGGCTGAGGGACGTCTGTAAAATCAATAATTTAAATCTAAGGGATATAAAAATTAAGGCCTAAAGGGACAGCAATAACTTTTTTTTTTTCTTTTTTGAGACAGGGATTCACTATGTAGCCTCAGCTGGCCTGGAACTTCCTATGTAGACCAGGCTGTCCTCAGACTCACAGAGCTCCCCTCACCTCTGTCTTCTGCTGGGATCAAAGGCATGCACCACAAACCCAGCAACGGCCATAATTTTTCCTACCTACAGGTTATTTTTACAGAGAAACTGAAGCTACTTTGAAGCTGTTAGTAAATATGTCTAGGCCACACTGTTACAGTGTGGGACAGTGTGTGCATCTAGCCACTTGGACCCAGAGATCTACCAACCTGTATTTTGTTAACATGACATTCCCAGAGACTTGCTTCCTAGAGTACCCTGGAAATAAAGGTCAATAAAGATTAAGATTATAAGTAATACATGAAACTAAAATTACTAGAAATGGGAAAAAGGAATCCCTATATGAAACTATACAAGGAAGATAAATTTGCTTTTGGTAAGGAAAACCTATAAGGTGAAAAGGTGTTTTATTTTATTAAAGAAAATGGAGTAATTTTTGTCCTAAAGTAGAATGACTAGTTCTAAAATGAGAAATGACATAGGACAAAAGCTGAATGAAAGAGAACGTTACAGAGCGGCCTGCGCAGGTAGCTTAGTTGGTAGAGTGCCTGCCCAGCATGTAGGAAGTCCTGAGTTCAATCCCTAGGCATAAAAGTGAGCATGGTGGTACAAACCTGTAATCTCAGCACTAAGGAGATGGAGGCAGGACGATCAGAAGTTCAAAGTCATCCTTGATTAGGTATTGAATTCAAGGCAAGTCTGGGATATGAGAGACCCTATCTAAAATCAACAAGCAAACAAAAAGTCCCCAAAACATTGTAGAAGGTAAGAAGACTTATCCCAAAACTCTGTGGAAAGAATTTTATGTGTGACAATGCTTGCTGAAATCAGAAGGAAATTATTTACAAGATTTTTAATGAGCATTTGTGCTGAATAGCTTTAGTGTCAACTTGACGCACCTGGGTTGAGGGAGCCTCAATTGGTGAATTGTCTCCATTGGCCTGGCCTATGGCCATGTCTGTGGGGCATTGTCTTCATTGGTGAGTGATGTGGGAGGGCCCAGCCCACTGTGGGTGGTGCTACCCCTGGGCAGGTGGGCCTGTGTTGCATAAGAAAGCAGGCTGAGCAGGGGCCAGGGGAGCAAGTCAGTAAGCAGTGTTCCTCCATGACCTGTGCTCCAGCTCCTACCTCCAGGTTTCTGCCCTGAGTTCCTTCCTTGGGCTCCCTAATGAACTGTGACCCAGGAGATGTAAGCCAAATAAACCCTTTCCTCCCCTAGTTGGTATTGGTCAGAGTATTTTGTCACAGCAATGAAGAAACAAACTAGGACAGCATTATTATCTCAGATACACTGCAAAACTAGAATTTGGTCCTCACTGTTAGTAAACAAACAAACAAACCCCAAACCAGGAGCTGAGGAGATGGCTCAGTGTTTAAGAGCACTTACTGCTGTTGCAAAGAACAGGAATTCAGGGGCTGGAGAGATGGCTCAGTGGTTAAGAGCACTGGCTGCTCTTGCACAGAACTCAGATTTGGTTCCCAGCACCAGCTTTGCAGTTAACAATCATCCTTAACTCCATTTCCAGAGTCCTGGACTCTGACACACAGGCAAGTAAAATACACATAAAATAAAAATTAAAAAAATTTTTTTTAAAAAAAAGAATGGAGTTTGGCTTGGTGGTACATGCCTTTAATGCCAGAACTAACTAAGTACAGTTCCAGATGATGACCTGATGCCTCACTTCTGGAACTCTCACATGTGTAGCATGTACTCTTATAAACATATATACACATAAATAAAATAGATCTACACACACACACACAAACACACACACACACACACATACACACACAAAGTTTTGGACTGGTAAGATGGCTTATAAGGTAAAGGTGCTTGTTGCGAAGCCTGTCTGCCTGAGTTCAACCCCAGGAGCCTACATGGTGGAAGCAGAGCATCAACTCCTGCAAGTTTCTCAACACATGAACACTGAGCCTGTACACACACACACACACACACTAAATAAATAAATGAATAAATAAATAAATAAATAAATAAATAATAAAAATTGCATTTGAGGTACTTGGCTTAGGAAAAAAAGATTCTAGGTTTTGCCAAAATATTTCCTGTGCTCTGTTGTTTCCTTATTAGATTTTTGCTTACTTAAGATCATGCATGGTGGCATATGCCTTTAATCCCTGTACTCTGGAGGCTGGGCTAGGACGATCAAAGTGTTCCAGGCCAACCTGGGACTACATAGTAAGACCTTATCTCAAAAAACAAATTATGTAATTTTCTGTATTTGCTTTTGAAATTTTGATATCACTTTGGGTAAATGAAGGACTAATGTTTCCTAGAACTAAGGTTCTTATATTGATTAAATGTTTTAAACCTTTGCTATTTTTATAAGCATCTCCAAATCAAATTAAATAAGTCTTTTTCTAGAGCTCGAATTAATTTTGGAACTTTCCAAATGGTTCCTTGGAATATCTCCAAAGGATATATCTCTTTATAAAAAGAGAGATATTAGGGGCTGGAGAGATGGCTCAGCAGTTAAGAGCATCCATATGGCAGTTAAGAACTATCTATAACTCCAGTTCCAGGGGAATCAGATACCCTCTTCTGATCTCTGTGTGTGTTGCATGACATGGTGCACTTACATATATGCAGGCAATACACTCATATACATAAAATGAGAAAAGTAAATAAAATGTTTTTAAAGGGAGATATTATTAGTTTGATACATTAAGTTATATCAGAAGCATGGTGAAATAATAAGAAACACAAAGGTTTATTTGAATTATATATGAGCAGGTGTGTTATTAATGTGTTTCAGAAATTGTGTGAAATTCTTAGAAGTACAATGGTTTTAGTGTAACACTATTAGTCACAATTCTAATTGTTCTGTTTGGTTTTTTTTGAGATAGGATCTCATGTATCCTTCCTGGGCTAGCTTTGAATTAATATGTAGATGAGGATAACCTTGAATTTCTTCTAATCCTGCTGTTTCTACCTCCTGAGTTAGGATGTGATTACAGGTTTCTACTACCACTCCAGTTTATTTGGTGCTGGGAACCAAACTCAGGACTACATGCTAGGCAAGTACTCTACTAAGTCACAACTCCCTCTATTTAAGTGTTCTAGGAAACAGTCAGGCACAACAGCTGTACATGTAATCATAGCTAATAAATAAGGAGGCTGAAGCAAGAAAGCCAGTTGAGTCCAGGAGTTCTGGTCAACGTGGACAACATAGCAACACCTATCTCATAAAAGTCATATGCAATGGACATAATCAACTTTTCTTGCCAAGTACATCACCATTGTAATAAACTCTCACCAGATCTTTAGCCATGGCCATTTTAAGTCTTGTCATTCATAGACTGTTGGTTGTCTAGTTTAGTACTCTCCCAAGCCACTATCAGTTTTGGTGTTCAAGGACATGCATGGGAAGGACTCTGTCCAGTTCCACTGGACTGGGTAGTAATTTTCAGACCTCTAATGAAGAAACTAAATGGCTCATTAACATCAAGCTGATGTTTAGCCCAACACCAAGCACAATAAGAATTAAATACTAAAGAAATGATTTGGCAGATTTTCATGCTAAATCAGTTGGTAGTGAAATTATTAAGCTATGCAATTAGAATGAACACACAAATTGGTCCAAGTCCAATTATCTATAAGAACTTATTTAGTAAACAGTGCTAGGTATCTGAACTGTAGAAACAACTTTGGTATTTAAAAGGATGTAAATCCATTGCTAAGCATGGACCCATGGAGAGCTTGGATAGATGCCTGGTCCTTGCTGAGTCTTCAAAACTCCTGGTGTTAAAATTTCTGCATTCTTAAGACACATGAAGGTAGAGATGAAGTGATCCAAACAATAGCAAAACACTGGTGGATAAATATTTTCGCTGCAAAAAGGAATCTAACCAAGGTTTGCTTGTCAGCCTATCATTTTTGTTGCGATGATGTAACTTCAGGTCACATGCTTCTAGTAGCTAGATGATTCAAACACAGATGAATTGCATTCACTTGATACTTAAAGTGCTTGTTTTCTAGGTGTAAGAAGCTTTCCTGTGTATTAAAGCTGACCCTGTAACAGTAGCTAGTTATTATAAAACACATTTTCCTCACGGGTCATTCCTGGAGAGACCTCCAGCAATTGTAGTACTTGTTTCACTGCACAGTTGTATAACAACTAAATAAGGGATCACAAACACAGTGGCATTAAGCCAAGCTCCTGAATTGACTGGATTGCTTCAGTCACAGGTATTTCCAGTTGATTGCAACTGGATCCCTTGTGAAATAGTCACTGCAAGGCAGCACCCCTGTGACAGAGCCTCAAGTATCTCTTACTTGTATCAAGTCTGATATGACTCAGCAGTTGAGGCTTTAATGCACTACACTAAAGTCTATTTTAGTAGGTAAAAAAGCCCTCATAACCACTAGCTGACAACGGCCTGAACTCTTGTGACCCAGATTCTGAAGAGCTGGTCTTTTATAAACAGCCATTTAAGTGACTACATGATTCTGTTGCAAGAGTTCAGACCAGGTTTTACTTTGCAGCAAACACTTGGTGTCACATTAAATCAAACAAAGGCTGTATCTTTGCAGCATACTACATAGGGAGTGGAAAAAAGTAAGCTTCTCACTAGACCTTGTTTATTACAGGGGAATGACTTTAATTAATGTCTGCTCCAATGCCACTAGGTGGCCATCTTTTCCATCTCAAGGGCTTTATTGGAATTGTAGACTGTTTATCCTGTTCAGTTGATATAAATCCTTCTGTTTGGCCTGGCTCACTCCTACCTTCTAAGTTGCTTTTCTAGACATTTCTATACCTACCACAATAAAAGCAGTCAATACCCAAAATGAATACCCACCTTGAAGTAGCTAAGGATGTTAGTTTCTACTGAAGAAAGTTTCTAATAGGGTTCCTGGGTATTTAGTTTGGTGGTAGTGGGGTGCTAGTTAGAATTTAAAACTAACCTGGAAGTTTGGGGAAATTGAGATCTTGTAGCCAGTCAGACTTCCCAGGGTTCAGAAGTGTGGCGCCCCTCTCTGAAAGGTGAATGAGGATGTTCACATTCCACAAAAACTTATTGGAACAAAATTTTACTTTAGAGCTTCTCCATGGGGTCTGGAGAAAAGGCTCATCAGTTAAGAGCACATACTTATCTTACAGAGGACTGGAGTTGGTTCCCAGCACCCACCACGGGCAGCTCACAACTGCCTGTAACTCTCTGGCTTCCATGGGCACCTGCACTCATGTGCACATACCCCTATCCCACATAATTAAACTCTTTTTAAATAAAGATGTCCTCTTTGCACATATTGGGGACCTGTGTGTGGTTCCAAAGAAAACCGAATGCTGTAGCTAACTCACTTGATTTCACAATTACACCGAGATGAAAAAGGTGGCTGAGAGACCAGGGTACAGCTCAGTGGAGAAAGCATGTCCTTAATGGATGATGCCCTGGGCTCAGTCTTCAGAAGGTATGTATGTGTACATATGCGAACACACACACACACACACACACACACACACACTGAATAAGGAAACTTCTCAGGGGAGAAGGACACATGTTCATGGGAGCAGCAAGCACTTGGTCTGCAGGCATCAGAATGGTGGATGACAACCCTGGCCACTATAAAGCTCTCAAATACTTGTGTTTAGTAGCTCTCCAGGTTCATATTGCCAGGCTAACTACAAAAATGGATAGCTATTTAAATCAAGCAATTTTGGTTAATTAATTTTGAGACAGGGTCTCACTATGGTCACCCTGGCTGGCTTTGAACTTGGTATGTAGACCAGTCTGCCCTCAAACTCACAGAGATCAATTTTGCTTCTGCCTCCCTGGGATTAAAGGTGTGTACCACCATCCTAGGCTCAAAAAATCAGGTAATTTTACACCAACTATGGGTCTTAATGGCCATCCTGCTCTCCAAGATCACAAATATTAAGTGATAAGGGGGAGGTCCCTATGAATATTGCTTTGAGGGTTAGCACAGGCATTTTACCAATAAAATGCACTTCTAGCCTTGCACTTTGCACCAAGAAAAACATTTAAGGATCTGAAGGCTTCGTTTAAATAGGATCAGGGAAGAATAGTGGGACATCTTCCTGGTTTCCTGCTTAACCAGTTCTGTGATCTGAAAAAGTCACTTTCCTCTTGGGACCTATTTCCTGGCTGCAAAATTAAGTGGTTAACTGAATCTGGCCAAGGGGCAGAGAAGAAGAAATTACAAAAAAACGTTTTCTCTATGATAATTTGGGATGGTGAGAGCAGTGGGTGAGTACCAGCACAGCCCCTCCTGGCTCTCGTCTGCACAAACCTATCAAGGCTTGCTGCAGTTGGAAAACATTAAGACAATGTGTTTCACACTTGACCTTCTTCGATTAGAACTGTACCCATTTTCTAGATGATGAAACTGGGGCCCAAGCAGCTTAAATAATGCAGCGCGCGGTCACACAATGTGCTGGTAGTGAAAAGCAAGGCTCCAGCTGGGAAGAGCTCCCTGCAGGAGGCCCGCTATGTCCCAGTCTGTGAGGGTTTCAGCCTCAGTTCTCACCATCCCCAGGAAGGCGGCATTCAGGACCACAGTGGTGAACCAGCGCAGCAGGCTTCCCCGGCCTCTCTGCTCCTTCTTCGCTGGGGTCTCGGCCTGGAGAAGGTGCTGCCCCACAGCCGCTGCCCCGGAACCACGGAACTCCGTTTCCACCTCCAGCTTGGCGGCTCCAGGCAAGTGGTCTTGCTCCGGCCCAGCTTTTTGCCAGGGCTCCTAGAGCTGTAAGCCCTGTTCCTCCCGACCAGAAGATTCCTCCCAGTGTTACCTCCCCCCCAGGGACTGTCCTGAGTCAGGATCTGGGAGAAGTTACACTTTGGACTGTGCATGTGTTTGAGAGTGGTGGATACCCGCGCCCAACTCGCAACAGTCCTAAGGAGGTCACTTGGCAGAAATAGGCCTTTCGCAGCAATTCAGACCCAGCTTCCATTGAAGGCAGCTTCAGCATCACACGCCCCTAAGCGCACACAAACTGACCCGCTAGCACCGCATGGCGGAGAGAGCTAGAAGGACAGCCTCAGATCAGCCCTATCAAGAGGCTTTGGGGCTGGAGGGATGGCTCAGTAGATAAGCGCACTTACTGCTCTTAAGGAAGACCCAAGTTCGGTTCTCATTACCCACGTCTCATAACTACAACTGCCTGTAACGCCAGTTCTAGGAGATCATAAGCCCTCTTCTGGTAGGTGCGTGCACACACACACACACACACACACACACACACACACACACACTCTA